CATCTGACCGCTGCAGAACCCTCTCCCACACCTGTCTGGCCAGCCCTGCCACTCCACTGACTTGTGGCCCCACATGCCCAGTTCTCTGCAGGACAGTCCATCTGGATATTCCCACAACACACTAGTCTCCAGGTCTTCGTGGAGCTGGTTTTCCTCCAAATGAGGTCTTTGGGGATCTCCTTTAAGTGTGGATGGTGCCGTTGCTCTCCTCAGTCCTGGCAGCTTGGGCTGTGTCCCCGTCACCATCCACGGCTATCTCTGGAAGTACAAGACACGTGTGTACCGGTTTCAGGAGGAAGCTAGTCCCCAGCCCTCTGGAGCCAGGGCTCCTGTGGGCTATCCCAGCACCCAGGCCAGCGCCCTGTCTTGGGAGCCGCCCAGCTGCTGTGTTAGCAGCAGGGTGGCAATTCTTTAATTAGACCAAGCAGGGTTTTCTCGGCCGGGGGTGGGAGGAGGTGTGTAGGTCTATTGGGGGAAAGTAGGTCACCTGAAAACCAGTAGTCAAGAGGGAGCTGTCCTGGAGCCCCAGCCCCAGGGAACCCAGAGGGGTGAGGTGGGAGGGGCTGGCAGGGAGAGCAAAGTCGGAGAAATTGTGCTCTGGCCCCTTTTATTGGCCCTTGGGAGGCACTGTCCTCACTTGTCTCCAGGGGGCTGGGCAACTGCCCTTAATTCCTCCACCCCAAGCAAAATGCCTGAGCCAGGGAGGTCAGTGCAGTGCGTGCCTTCGGTCCGCCTGGGGGTTGCCACGGTGGAGCCCAGGGGGTGCACACTGCACTGGGAGTCAGGCCCAGGGTTCAAGGTACTGCTCAGTCTCTGGATCCTTGGAGTATGTTGCCCACTCCCTTGTACCTCGGTTTTGTCATCCGTCCAATGGGCAGGGACCGTGTCTGCCTTTGACCCTGCTGCAAACCCAGCCCTCAGCACAGTCCTGCCTAATAACTGTTTGTCAGATGAAATAACAGTTATTTCATCAAGTGCTTCTCTTTTAAGATGGCCACCCCGGAAGGTCAGCGGCCAGGTGGCTTTTCCAGTTGTCAATCACATATAATATTTGCCACCACTCACTACCATCATTATTTAATTTTTTCTTTGTTACCTTCTTGCTAGCTTTCCATCGATGTAGATTTTTATTCAAAATGGAAATTTTATATAAACTACTTTTAAAAAACAGTAACTGAAAAGCAAATCCACGGCAAACACAATGTCATTACATTCTGTTCTGGATACAATTTCTTGTCCAAGGCCACTGGACCGCAAGCAACGTGTTGAATTGTTTGTTGGACAACTCCAGAGGCCAGAGTCTGTTCTCGGGGTGCACACAACGGCCCCCCTGTACCTCAATTCTCTTCTGCACTGGGCGGGGGGGCTTACAGACTATCTTTGCTTCCTAGTGCAGGGACCTCTGGATATTTGGAGACTTCCACTTAAGACAGGGCTTGCAAACTCAAATGACTGCAGGAGCTAGCGACTGGTGTTATCTAGTGAAGGAGGTCAAGTGGGAGTCATGGGGGGCAGTGGGTTCTACAGTGAGTTAGAGGGTATGTGCCCCGTATGAAGGGGACAGCCCCACTCCAGTTCTGCTCATTGTGGCCTTGGCCCAATGTGGCCAAGTACTGAGATGTTCTAGGAAAAGCTGACCATTCCATTTTGATGGTAAGATCTCCAAGTTTTAGATGCACGCAATGAATTATAATTTTGCAGAATGTGATACGGGCCCTGTTGTGGACTGCAGGGGGCTTTCTGCCTGGGTCTGGCGCAGAGCCACAAGCTGCTCACCACTGCCCCCCGAGACTTCTGTTCCCTTTGGACCGGGCAGCTCCATCCTCTTCAAGCCATGTTTGTGTGTGCTGTTTCCAGAACTCCCTCCATGAAGGTCAGCCCCTCTCCATGCCCTTGAACATGGCCAAGCTTCCTCTCAGCCCAAGTCTCTACCTCTTCCCTGGTGAACTCCTTTCTACTCATCCTTTAGGATTATCAGTTGTCCTTTACTCTGGAGGACCTTTCCTGATAACCCCAGGCAGATCAGTCTTTTCATTTTTCTAGCTGTGTGATGTTGGATAAGTTACTTAATCTCTCTGTGCCTCACTTTCCTTATCCATGAAATGGGGGTGATAATAGTACCTACCTCATTAGCTTGTCAGGAGGACTAAATGAGTTTATAGGTAGGTAGACAGACAGACAGACTGGGATTTCCTAGAGGGCAGAGCTGGTCCATAATCCTTCTGAATCAGGGCTTGTCACAGAGTAGGTCTTCGCTGAATGTTTGATTACTTGAGAAAGAGCAGAAAGTAAACAAGTGGCTCACTAGCTCTCAGTGAGGTCTGACCATCGGAATGATGCGGTGTGGTTATGAAGTCAACTCTTCCGAACTCCTTTCAAAAGGCAACCGAAATATCTATCTAAATGGCTAAAATAAAAGCCAGTGACAACACCAAGTGCTGACAGAGAACTGGATCACTTGTATATCGCTGGTAGGAAGGAAAAATGGTACAGCCACTCTGGAAACAGCCTGACAGTTTCTTACAAAACTAGATACCTAATTACCCTACAAGCTAACACTTGTCCTCCTGAGCATTTACTCCAGAGAAGTGAAAACTTTGGTTCACACAAAAAATCTGTGCATGAAGGTAATAACCCCAAACTAGAAACTACCCGATGTTCTTCAGTGCGTGAAGGGGTAAACAACGTGGGGCAGGTCCATAAAATGAAACACTACTCAGCTATAAAGGAGCCGCAGACTCCTGATACAGGCAATGACTGGATGAATCTTAGGGGAATCGTGCTGAGTGAAAAAAGCCGGTCCCCAAAGGTTACCTACTGCTTGGTCATATTTACATAACATTTTTGAAATGACAGAATTCTAGAGACGGGTGACAGATTCGTGATTGCTACGGGCAAGGACAGGAATGTGCTGTGGGGGGTGGCGAGGGGTCCTTGTGTGATGGAACCGCTCGTATCTGGACCATACGGTGGAATTCCATAGGTGGTGGAACCTCCCTGTGGAATGAAATTGCCTGGAACTAAACGCACACATGCACAGTCCGAGCAGTCGTCACTCTGGGGGGATCTGAATAGGACCGATAGTTTGCATCCGTGTCAGGTTCCTGGTTGTTCTGTGATACTGTCGTCTTGCAACATGCTACCTCTGGGCTAGATGGGATAAAGGGTACTCGGCATTTTCCCGCGTTACTTGTTATAACTGCATGTGAATCTATGATGATCTCAAAAATAAAAGTATAATTTATTAATTTAAAAAGCATTGTAAGGTGTTCCAAAGAAAACAAAAGGAAAGGCAATGAAAGCCAGTTAGCTGTTTCCTGCTGAGCCTTGCCATCGGCTCATGTTTACGCTTGAGGTCAGGTCCTCAGATCCCCTGGACCTTTGCCCTGAGAGTATTGCCAAGCCAGCCCCTTCCCCACACTGTCCACCCTCCAGTCTCGGGGCTGGGACAGACCTGAAGAACATTCTGGCCCAGCCTGAGCACCCAAGGGTCCAGGCTAAGGCTGAGCAGGCAGCACCCCTCACCCCACCCACCCCGCAGCCGCCTGCTGGCAGTGAAACAGGAAAACCAGGAGATAACAATCACTTCCTAAAGCACAGGGCCATCCCGACCCCCTTTGTGACAACGGAAATTTCCACATCATGCAAATGTAGACCTTTGCCGGTCTTCTCCATCACCCACCAGTCCGCCAGCCTAGCCTGTGGGTTCCCAGGTGACTGCGTTTACAGGTCCCTGCTCTTCCTCCTCCGAGCTGGTTTCTCTCTGCTGCTCCACTAGGTATACAACATTTGTGGTCAGCTCTTTTCATTCCTTGGACATTTTATAAGTTCTGGGAGGTGTATGCAACATTTTATAGGTGGAAAAACAGCTTAGAGCGGTTCAAGTTGTCTTAAGACCCTTTCCCTCTTTGTCTGAGAGCCCATGGGGTCTGAAGACAGGGACCAGTGGGCTTCAGACTGAAAATCTGTTGTCCAGGAATCAATGAGAGCAAGAGGTGTGACTTAAAAAATTTGTTTTTAAAGATCAAAGAGGACGCCCTCCCTGGCTGGTGTAGCTCAGTGGATTGAGTGCAGGCCTGTGAACCAGAGAATTGCGGTTCGATTCCCAGTCAGGGCACATGCCTGGATTGCAGGTCAGTTCCCTGCAGGCCAGTTCCCAGCAGGGGACACACAGGAGGGGCAACCGTGTGTTTCTGTCCCTCTCTCCTTCCCTTCCCCTCTAAAGATAAATAAATAAAATCTTTTTAAAAATTAAAAAAAAGATATATCCTCTTTAAAAAAAAGATGAAAGAGGAACACTTCAACTAAGATTCTCTAGGTCTCAGTAATTCAGCAGTTATCAAACTCTTTGATCTTAGACCACCTTTATACTCTTCAAATTAAGAATCCCAGAAAGCTTTTGTTTCTTTGGATTACATCTGTTATCATTTAGCATATTACAAATTAGTACTGAGAAATTAAAAATACAGTACTCATTCCTTTAAAAATAACAATAAACCCCTTGCCCTGGCTGGCGTAGATCAGTGGATTGAGTGCAGGTCTGTGAACTGAAAGGTCGATGGTTTGATTCTGGGTCAGGACACATGCCTGGGTTGTGGGCCAGGTCCCCAGCTGGGGGTGTGAGCAAGGCAACTGATAGCTGTGTCATCGATGTTTTCTCTCCTCTTTCTCCCTCTCTCTAAAAACAAATAAATAAAGTCTAAAGAAATAACCCCAGCAAACCCCTTATATGTTATAACAATGGAACAACTTTGTATGTTACAGCAATATAACCACAGTAAATGGTATGAGAAATGTTAGCTTACACTACATTGGTGATCAGATAGCAATCTATAAGTGTATCGGATAGACAAATTTACTCAATTCACAGGTCAATTATATCTTAATAAAGAGAAAAAGCAAACTAGAAAAAGTGTTTTGAACGTGGGCGAGGTGATAGAGTCCGATCCGAGCTCTGAGGCTGACAAGCATGTGCACCTGTGTCTCTCTCTCTGCCACAGGCCCCATCATGAGGCCCCAGCCCCGCCGGAGCCCTCGCGCTCCCCGGGCCCCGGGCGCACCGTGCTAGCCCCCATCCTGGGGCGTGGGGAGGCGCGGTGGCCATGGCCAGCCACGTGGACCTGCTGACGGAGCTGCAGCTGCTGGAGAAGGTGCCCACGCTGGAGCGGCTGCGGGCCGCGCAGAAGCGCCGGGCGCAGCAGCTGAAGAAGTGGGCGCAGTATGAGCAGGACCTGCAGCACCGCAAGCGCAAGCACGAGCGGAAGCGCAGCACTGGTGGGCGGAGGAAGAAGGTGACCTTTGAGGCCAGCGTGGCCCTGCTGGAGGCCTCCCTGCGGAACGACGCCGAGGAAGGTAGGTCACTCCCATTCTGAGCGGTAGATGTGTGGGCTGGGGGTGGGGGTGCTGGCCAGCTCCTGAGTTTGTCAGCCTCGCACGCGTGTCTTGGGAAAGCCCCACATTTATCTTGCACTTTTCGTGGGAAGGCAAGGAGGAACAAGAACCCCAGTGTTTGGCTAATGAACATCATCAGAATTTTCTTTCCCTGCCACAAATATTTACTGACAATCTACTTCTTGCACGTTATTATTCTAGATATCTGGTGAACAGATTGGACCGGTCTCTCCTCTAAGAGCTCAGGGCTCATAGGATCTTGCATTCCTTAGGCCCTTCCTCTGTGCCAGGCCACCAGCCAGGGTCTGCATGCAGGTCCCCGCCTTTCGCCTTTGCTGCAGGGGGAGACGGTGTAGGAGGTGGTTAACTGCACAGGCTCTGAGGTTAGACCAGGCGGGTCGAAAACCGACTTCGTCAAGTATTCCCTGTGTGACCCTGCGGTAGACAAGTCCCTTTGCTTCCTGTACCTCAGTTTCCTCCTCTGTAAAATGTAGATAATAATTGTATCCACCTAAAGGGCTTGTGGTGAATGTTAATTTAGGTTGTGTGAAACTTTTGAATAGAATGTTGATATAATATATAATAATAAAATAAAACAATAATCATGTAGCAGTTATGTAATATAAAGTCATATATAATATAAACATGTTTAAACATATAAATTACTATAATGCATTTATACGCATTATAGATTTGTATAAAATAATCATGTTTATGTTTATAAAGTCTGGAAACAAGAATATACATAACATTGTCTAGGACATTTTCACTTTACAAAGTGGATAAACAAATACATATAAACACATACACGCTCATATTATCTGTTTCTACACTTAATGAATACCCTGTACTGGTTATATTGTATTTAATTATATTATTATTATGGGTCACATGATCCAGATATCACAATACCCAAGAGGCAGGTATAAAACACCCATTTTACAGATGCGGAAATCGAGACCCAGAGAGGTTCAGAACCTTGACCAAGACGGCAGACAGGATCAGAACCCCCAGGATTCAAGCTCTTGTCACTGGCTGCATGGCCTTGTAGGTTTGCTTGTGATGGGGATGAACGGAGGATCCATGATTTGGCCGAAGCCTTCTTCTATGAGCATGCCCTGAGGGGTCCCACCTGGTCAAGGTGCAGCCAGGATTTCTGCTTGGTGTCCTGTGTTCATCCTCGGCAGCCTGGGACCCCTTTCTGTATACAAATCCTCTCCGGCTGTCCCGGGAGGGGCCCAGCCATGTTTCCTGGGTCCCTCTGGGCTCCTGCCGCTGCTCACCCTGCAGATGTTGGGCGCTAAGGCAGTCGATGGAAGATCAGAGGCATGGTGACGTTTACTGCACTAGATTCTAGTACAACAGTGACTCGAGGGTGTTGGGTTCTGTGCCCTCTGCTCCTCAGGTTCTAGAACCCTCTGAGAAGCACAATTCCATTTCTGGCTACAGAGAAGCCATTTTTGGGGAATGAGCAGAGAGGCACTGCTGGGAGCACTCAGAGGAGCGCCTGGGGTGAGTCGCTCCCTTGGGAGAGGCACGAAGTCCCAGGCTCAGGGGACACGACCCCTCTAGGCTTCTTCCCACATGTCATTTGCCAGGTGACGTGGCAGGCCCAGCCCACTCAGTGGGAGGCACATCATGATGTCTAATTTTTGTCGTGGGCGATATAGTTCATCAGCTCCCCTTTCATCTTTTACTCCCCGCTTCCCTGACAAAGTCTGTTTCCCCCTCCCCAAAGGGGCTTTGCAGAGGCTCCGGAGCTGGCTGTGGGGCTTCAGGGGGTGCTCTGGTCAGAAAGAGCAACCAGGACTGGCCCCTCAGGCCTGTGCGTGACCTGGAGCACTGCCTTCAGCTCTCTGGCTCCAGTATGTTAGTCTGAAAAGTGGGGGGTTTGAACCTTACCTTCAAGGGCATGTGTCAAGAATTAGATAAGATCCTGGATGGGACTGCTCTTTGGAAAGTAACCCTGAACCCTGCACCAGCACGGTGACCGTTTTAACACAGTCTTTTCTTTTCTTTTCTCTTCTTTTCTTTTCTCTTTTCCTTCCCTTCCCTTCCCTTCCCTTCCCTTCCCTTCCCTTCCCTTCCCTTCCCTTTCCTTTCCTTTCCTTTCCCTTCTTTTCTTCTCTTTCCCTCTCTCCCTCCCTCCCTGTTTTTACAGAACCCAAATATACACAAACATTCTCCTAAAAAATCAAACACAAGTGTACAGAGTAAAACTTTCTCCCTCCCTCCCTGCCGTCCGTCCTTCCTTCCGTCATTAGTGCTGCCGTCTGTCTGATGTGTTTCCTCCCAGGCGTTTTTCTCATTTACCTGTGTATCCGTGGGCTTGGAGAAACAGAGCTGGTTGGGATTTTTCATTTTTGTGTTTATGTAGGTGATGACATCCTGGATACATTGTTCTACAATTTTATTTTTTTCACCCAACAAGATGCCTCGGAGGACTCTCCTGCCAGTGCACCTCCAATGGGACACTGGATCTGTGTTATGTTAACTTCCACACAGTATTCCACAGTGTGGATTCACTAGGATTTTTGAATCGGTTCCATACTGACAGGCATGCAAGTGTTTCATGCAAGTGTTTTGCTTTTGCCAAAGTGAACGTTCTGTGCACACCTGCAAATGTTTATCTAGGACAGATGGGCAAAAATTGAGGCGCTGGATCTGAGGCATGTGCATTAAATCTGAATGAGGAAAGTGCCGGGCCCCACGGGCTGGTCCCCTGGCTCGGGGGGTAGCCGAGAGAAGGTGGAGGGCCAGAGCACTGTGCACCGAGGCCGGCTGTGGGGTGGGTGGAAGGTGCCCTGGAGGGCCACAGGTGGCTGAGTGTTAGGGGAGGGAAGTGAAGCTGCCATCTGTCAGCACGCAAACTCTCCCGGTTTTGCTCAGCTTTCTGCTAGCATGATGGAGCCTGCTGCTCCTCGCTGGCCAGGATGGCTTCTGTGAGCTCGGGGAGCTGGTGTTGGGGAGGCTGCTGGGGTGTTAGCTCACAGTGGGATGGCAACGTGGGGTGGCAGCTCCCCCGCTCCCCTGAGCTCACAGCAGTGGCTGAGTCAACCTCCTCCACCTGCCAGGGCAATGGGAGTGGTTCCAGAGAAAGGCAGTGCCTGGTGGGGAACTCACCGAGTTTTTTCCTCGGACCCCTGGGTGCCCTCAGGCTGAGGTCGGGCACCAGGACCCTCCTGGGCCTGGGACCTGCCCGAGCCCCACCCTCCTGTTCCCACTGCCCATTTTTTTTTTTTAAAATGGCTTTATTGAGGTTTAATACACATATCATAAACTGTGCCTTTTTAAAGCATATCATTCAATAATTTTCAGTAAATTGACAGAATTGTACATCTGTCACCACCCTGCAATTTTAGAACATTTCATCCTTCCAGGGAGAAACTTTGTGCCCATTTGTAGTCACTCCTGGTCCCACTCCCACCCCCACCCCCACCCCCAGGCAACCACCCATCTATTCTCAGCTTCTGTTTATTTGCTTTTTGGGACTTTCATTACACAGACTCACACCATGTGTGATCTTCCGTGATGGCTCCTTCGGTTGGAATAATGTTTTCAAGGTGGCCCTGGGGTATGGCGTGTGGCAGGAGGGATGCCATGCCTCTGTGCTGTCCCTGGAGTCCCAGTGTAGGGACAGTCTACGTTTCGTTTATCCAGCCAGCAGGTGACGAACACTTCGGTGATTTCCACGTTGGGTTATTATGATGAGCGGTGCTGCTAAGAGCACTCATGTGCAAGTCTTTGCGCGGACATATGTTTTCATGTCTCTCGGGAATCACCTAGGGACGGCCTTGCTGGGTCATATGGGAAATGTATTTTTAACTTTTTCAAAAACTGCCAAACTGTTTTAAAAAATGACCGTGTCCTTTTACCTCCTCAAATCCTGTTTTACAGCTTCTCATCCCAGAGGCCATGTCACTTGCTGAGACCTTGCAGGTCTCAGACCCAGAGTTTGATGGTAGATCACTTGTCTCTGAAGGCAGATCGGGCGCCCAGGCTTCTAACAACCAGGTAGTCCTGGCACCTCCTGCATTTGTGTTTCCCGAGAAAATAAGAGAACCTCGCACTTGTGGTTCTGATCTGTGTGTCTTTTGGCCTTACAGCCCCTGGGGTTTCTGCTGACTTCTTGGGCCCTTGGTACCGGGAGTCCCTGGATAAGCTTGTCATCCCCCAGCTGAATCTTCTCTTTAGGGCCACATGGGCCCAGCCTCCCTGGAAATGACTGAACATTTGTTAACGTGTCAGGGCTTCTGTTCTCTCAGAATCTGTAGGGTTTTCTTTATGGAAACTCTATCACATTCGAAAGTTTGAGCGATTCCTCTGTAGCCTAATTTTAGCTTTTCAACTGTTATTCTCATGGTAAAGGTTTTCAAACTCTTTTTTTTTTAAGCAGTGGAAACTTTTCTTTAAATGAAATGTTATGCAGAAACCCGATATGTAAAGCAGATGAAAGAGCTATTCTGGTTGGGGCAGGATCCTCATCCACCCCCACCCCCTCCCGCACCGCCCTGCACGCGTCTCCCGCACCCCGGGGTGCGCCAGCTCTGCAAGGCACCCTGAAACCACTGACTCATCTGAAGGAAACACTGAGACTTTCACTTCTGATAATTTTGCAAGGGGAAGTTTCTTTTCTCCTAGTTATAAAAATAATGCATCCTTGTTGTAGAAAATCTTAAAAGTGCAAGGGAAAAAAAAAAAGAAACGTAAAGAAGAAAATAAAATCACACATACCTCACACCAAACAGCAACCGTTGATAATATTTCGGTAACGTTATATTAGTCGGTATCTTGATAGGAAACAAATGCTGTTCTCCCATGAGGTAATTTGAGGAAAGTTTAATAAAAAGGAAATTTGCGGAGTTCAGGGTGACAGTCCTCGATTTTTTTTGGTCTCGGGGCCCCTTTATATTTAAAAAAACTGAGAACCCCTAAGAGCCTTTGTTTCATTGGTTTCTGCC